TGATCCATCATCACATTTCCCTACGGTCGTAAACCACGATAGCTGAGATTCCACTACTCAAGGTGGAATATAGGACCATCCCTAATACTCATTTTGGTGGCCAGGGCATTTGAACCGCAATATATATATGTGTATATATATATATATGTATATATACTTGTGAGTGGATCCCAACCTGTAGCTACAAAGTGATGCATTTGGAGCCACCGAAATTATGATAAGAAGGTAAGCAACAGTGAAGTGGACAAATCTTCTCCTCAACCTGAACAAGTCTGAAAGGCTACACCCAAGACTCGGAATGACAACATCCTGTATGCCATACTCAACCTGAGGAAACAGAACTCATCCGGTCTGGAATTATGAACACTCATTCTCACTCCATAACCATGTGGGAAGGTAAATTCCACTTGTCCCCGAAATTATAGGGAGGATGTGGAACAAACTGTGCTCAACCAAGGACCCTCTGTGTTCAGAATTACGAGGAAACAATGGACCCTCTTCCACAAAAAATGTACTGAACCAATATTGATCCAAAACAAGGGCCACACTCAACCCAACCGAATAGCCAAGCATCAAATCTGAACTGGTATTATGAGTCGGCTCCCACATAGGAATAATGCCCTGGAAATAGTGCAATAGGTGAACCAAGTTCCCTATAGTTTTGAAAGCAAACTTACCCCAATTTATTCAATCTGATGATTGGCAGGGATGGGCAGGATCCCCTTATGCTTTACTTATGATGGTCCATGAGAGGCAGTCCAGCATAGTGCAGTAATACCACCTGGTCTGCCTCTAAGCGGTTTTATGGAACACCTCATTTCTACAGAGCCTGTTGTAACCTAAATAAAAAATACTGTAACTAGTGTGGAATTAGTTTGATAAAAGCACACCTGCCTGCAGAACACTCACCACAGAGTAGGATCCTGTGAAAACAAAGAAGAGACAATATTAGAAATGAAGATACTTGCACCTCTTTATAATCTAGTGGATGTGGTTAAGATAGCTACTGGGGGGTAGTTGAAAACCCTCAGAGGATGATTGTGCCAGATCATGCAAACCAGCCTGCACAATGTCCTCCAGCAGGCAATTCAACTAGGCCACTAAGGACAAAGAAATGTGATGAATCTGAAGAGACGTGACTTGCAGGAGACTCCCCACCTCCAAAAAGAGTGCAGAATAAGTAATCAAGATCAATTTCCATACCCACCTTGACAAAATAACCAGGGATAAGTCCCAGAAAATTGAAGGATCCCAAAGAATAAAAAATCATTGTTTAACACCTCTAAAGTAATTAGTGCAGGCATCAGAATACTTCAAGACCCTTACTGGACATAACAAGTGATTGAGATCTGATCAGTCAGAGAAGTGAGAAATAGTGGTCAGGTGAATCGGTGAAAAGGATTTATCCCCTTCCCTGGCTGCTAGTGTCTTAGGGAAGAAGAAGAACTTGTCTGAGTATAGGAGGATGTAGGTAGAATGATAAAGCATCTTATGCACAAACAGTACAAACAACTCCAACCAGCAATGTCTGCAGGCCAGCAACAACCAAAATGAAACTGTAAGGGAAAGGTGATACATGGTACATGAGGCTAAAATGACAAACAGATGTTGAGAAAGAGCATGTAATACAACCTTTATATACCAGTTAGTTAACTGAAATGGTCATTTGGGACAAAGAGCCTGAAATGACTAGAGGAGGCCTCAGTGCATTGGGGAATCAATTAATTTTTGGCTCGAGTATTGAAAAGTAGTTGACAAGGCTGCCTTACAGAATGCAAAAACCCCTATTACAGAGCCAAGTCTTAAAATGAATTATCGTTGGCACTTACGGATGAAGTGGATTCAACCCCCTCTCAATACAGCATTGTTGATATATGTGCCATTTCCATTGATAAATATCCATTGTGCAACTAAGCATAAACTGAGATGGATACATGGCAACCGTAGAAGTTAAACCCAATGACTTGCAAAGGACCGCATAACCTCCAGGCATGAAGCAGAAGCTTCAGGAGGCTCGACCAGTAGCAGATAGTGGCTGGATGACTCCCTACGTGAATGTGCAGATAGATCGTTGGCAACATCAAAGTGGTCATCCACAGTCCTGGCAAAATAGCCAACGAAGAGTGAGGAACGACTTCATTGTGAACTTTGGAGGATCTAGGAATTGACTTAAATGAGAAAAAAATCAATGACCAGATGCCAATCTCCCATCTTCTTGGGAACAACAAACAGATGGGAATAAAAACCCAGGAAGAACTGGAACTCTCAACTGATCCTTTAACTAACAAAACTCTGCTAGCCGTAGAATAAAGTTCCAAAATCCTAGAAAACTGTGACAGATTTAGGTTGACTATAGACTCTGCTCTAGAACCAAATTTCAAGGAGCAGGTCTATTCTTTAAGTCTCAATATGCATCCACCTGAAGGTGGTAGGCTAAATCAAGTAGTGCCAACAAATGTCGTGGACAAGGCACAGCTATCCCTTTAGGTAACTGAGCAATAAATTTTCCTGCATAAACCTCAATATAAGTGGATAAAGGGAAAATTAAGCATTCACCCACAAACCTTTCAGCCATCAAGGAAGTAGCATGCTCAAAATCAATCGGGGAAAGACCAAAAACATCACACACTCAATGGAATAACAGGAGGCGGCTGATCCCCATGTGACCT